AGTTCCCAACAGCATCACTGGTTTCAGTCAGTGTGAGGGAGGATGACCACTTGGATCAGTCTGCGTAAGGACCGAGGGTTTGCGGTATTGATCCTCGTTAAACTGTTCTACCGTAAAGTGCTCGAATTCAAGTGCAGGTCGTTGGGCTACCGGAGCGGGGGTACCATCCCCTCTGCAGAGGATCAAAATTGTGATGGCATGTCTTCGGATCATCCCCCAAGGATGTTTCACAGACCGTCGCCAATAGCCCATTGTGCAGCTCTAGTGCGACGTAAATGAACTACAACAAGTTGACTACGAAAAACATTAAGTTTCTTTTCCAACCGTTGCATATTTTAAAAGATTTATGTATTTTTTGAAGTTATCTGTACACGCTAAAAAATTATGGATCAAATTACGGTATAAAGTACCGTCACCTTGAATGCATCATCTGTAAAATTCCTTTTACAGTAAAATCTATTTTGACTATAAAATATTATACCATAATTTTCAGAGTAATATTGATTTAACTAGATTGATTCAGGGATTTTACGATAATTATTACTGTAAAAACTATGGTATATCAGATTTTTTTGTTCCGTAACATGTTCCGGAAAAAAAGAGATTTTACTGCAAAATGTACCGTCATTCTAAGTGCCGGTACTTTCTTCCGTAATTTAATCCAGAATTTTTACAGTATAATTTGTAGCCACCAAATTTTAAAAAAGTAGTTGTAATTGTTAATAAAACAGTTGTAGTTAACTACAAAAAAATTTTTTTTCAACCATTGCATATTTTAAAAGATTTATGCATTTTTTAAAGTTATATGTAAAAATATTCATAAGCTGTTAGAAACTTTCAGATGCTCACTGTTGTATTTTTGTAGATAGCCATGTAACTTAAAAGTTTGAGACTCTTGACTTTTACTATACAGTATGTTCTTGAACCCTTTCAATATACATGTTCGTAGAATAAAAGAAAAAAAAAAAGAGTTTACTCAAGTGAATCGTTGACTATTCTCTATTTCATTCTTCCGACTATAAAAGTTTTCACTTCATGCTTCGCAAATTTTATTGTGAAAAAAAGTTATGGAACAACTCTGTAATTTAAAAGGTCACTTCTCTCTTCGTGACAGTTTAACCCTTGTTCTTCCAAGGAACCATATGCGTTTCCAAAACCAATCTAAATATATTAATTTTTATATCTTTTTCTTTGATACTGGGGCACTGAGAAGAAAGAAGTGACACGGTGTTTAGACGTGCGCAAAACTGGACTGAATTGTAAAAATATTTACTTAAATTTCTTTCACTATGTAAGAAAGAATGTATACAGACCAACTGTAACTTTTAAGGAAATAAAATTTCACCGAACAGTCGAGTACTAACAGTGTAGGAAAAAATGTAGGAAAAATTTCTCGTTAAAACCGAGTTATACTCGTAATAACAGTTTGATTTATAGGATTTTTAGCATTAAACTAATTATTCAGCAAAAATGTCTTCGTTAAATCAGAGCTCGTCATAAAAGAATTTGACAGCTCTTTCGTCATAAAAGAATTCGACTGTACTTTATTTTCTTTCACCATATAAGGAAGAATGTATACATTAGACTAATTTTAACTTTAAAGAAATAAAATTACGACTAATACTAACAGCTTATTTTCAAAAAGTGGAGTAAAAACTTCTCGTTAAAACCGAGTTATACTCGTAATAACAGGATAATTTATAAGATTTCGAGCAAAATCAAAATCAAAACAAATTTTTTAATAAATCAGATACTTGCTCTAACTGTAACCAAAGACAAACCATAGAGCATCTTTTATATTATTGTGATCGGTACCGAACACTCCGAAAAAATTATTTCTTCCAAAAAACAGACCAACAAATTTTTGCAGACAAGGTTTGTAGAGAAATTATCAAGATTATCATTAAAACTACTCTTGAGGAACAAATGGAATTAATAAACAAAATTGACAATAACTAAAATTTTAACCTGCTTAATCTAACCACCTTGCCAAAACTTTTTTTTGGACCACATTGCCATTTTAGTGTTTTAATTTGACTTTTAACTTGACTTTGCATTTTATACATGCTTTAGGTTTGTTTACAACCTTTGGATTTTAATACATTTGGTATTTTACATTGCGATTGTATTTTATACATGGTTTTTAGATTGTTATACACCCCTTTTAACTCTTACCTTTTAGTATCTATTGGTATTTTGTCCTCTGTTTTTTTGTACTTTAATTGAATTTACTCTGCTTTACTTGTTGTTCTTCATTTTAACTACCTGTTACTACTTCACCCTCACTATTTTGGTTCCACCAGCAGGATTCAAGCTGGCTTGATTGGCTGGATCCTTTCAATGCCCTATTGGCAAGTGTATACATCTGTGATTTTGTCTTAGTTTTAACTTTTCAATTTTAGCACTATATTCATTTATGTCATTTTATCCTTTCACCTTTTGGCGGTTTTATGAGCTGTATTTACGGCTGTTTTTGGTGAATTGTTAGATTTTTTGTCTTGTATTAAGGGTTCCACCAGCTCTGGCTCACAGCTCACTCAGTTTTTACTGGTTGTCTCAGGGTTCACAATTTTTGTATTATATATATATATAATTTTTGTATTCTATTTATATGAGGGTTAATAAGTTTTGTATTGTATATATACATATAATTTTTGTATTTTATTTATATAAGGGTCTGTTGACCTTTTAAATGATTCATTGTATTTGGCGTATGGGCCTATTGGCCTAGGCCGCTGTATATATATTAAATAAGATTTCGAGCATTCAGCATAAATGTCTTCGTTAAATCAGAGCTCCTCATGAACGAATTCGACTGCACGGTAAGTGTTAGGTTTCGAAACCTGTGAAGTTCATAAAAATAAACTAAGCATAAAATTGTATATTCTAGAAAGTCTTCACTTCGAATTTCATTAAGGAATTTTTTTATGACATAAAATCTCATCAAAATGACTTATAAAATATATTTTTCCCATGTTAAAAAAAAACAGGGGCATGCCCTCGAATCAAGAAGTACGCGTGAGGGAATAATCTTTTCCTGTCCCGGCGTCATGAGTATACTTCGAGTCCTATAGCTAAGAAATAAATAACACATTTCCCCATATTACTTCCATAATTAATGAATCCTTCTCGACTCAGCTTGGTAACAGGCCTCAAGTTTGAATCCTAGACACGATAGTCGGTTTTATTACAACTTCCAAAATCTCTCTCGTAGACTGATCAGGGTTTGATGCTTAACAGTTAGGGGACTAACGCCGAGAAGTTTTCCTCACGAATGAAACGAGCTAGCTTTAATTATTAGAAGTCATTTAGTCTTATATATTTCAAAATGGCAAACGTAATATTATATTTTTTCAATGATTGATTCAAAAATTCTCAGTTTTAGTCAAAATTATAAAAGCTAAAAGTGAGCAATCACCTCCGTTTTTATGATGAACTGTTTATGGTCGATGAAAAGGCATATTTTTAGGAAAAAAAATCGGCAAAAATAAATTATGAATCTGGATTTTACCAACCTTCGAGAAGGTCAGTCTGCGACCATTGTAGGACACGCGTGATTTTGACTTGCAGTATAAGGCACCCTAAATATTACTCTGTAAAAATAATCATCTATTCCCTTTACTTTTTTCTTTAATTTCGATCAAACTTTATTAACTCACTGAACTTAATACATTTTTAAGTCACAAAACAACAACCAAGTTAAATAAAATGCTCCAAATGGATTTTGTGATGAAAAGTTTAAACTGATTCAAGTAACATTTGTCAAATACTTAAGGGAGTTAACTAAGTTTCAATTTACTATATTTAATTACTGTTATTCAGTGCATCATTCCAGTTTCCCCCCTAGAATGTGGCATATCATAGCGGTTTTGTATCGAGAAATTTTCTGGTTTGATACCTGAGGGCATCTTAAAAAATTTATCAAAGAAATTTGTTATTTCCTAATACATACAATTCACTTTAACCTAAAATAACTAAAGTAAAAAGATAATTCATTTACATTTACTAAATTAAAGTTGGTTAGTTTTGAACTTTCTCAAAAGTCGAAAAAAAACAAAAAATTTTTAAATAATTTTTTTTTTCTTTTTTAGAAAATGCTAAAAATTGATTTTGAAATGTCTTGACAATTTTTTTATTTTATTTCATTCTTATGAAAATGTTCGTTATTAATGAACAGTGATGTTCGCTATTAATGAATATAGTCAAACCTTTGTTAAAATATATACTTAAGTGCTATAACTATCTAAAAATTTATTATTGACCATAACATCCGTTCTAGAGAAATTCGTTAGTGTGGCATATTGGCCATACGTAGTAATATGTATTAATGTTTTTATAAATTAATGTAATTCAACCAAATAATAATTTGAATAAGGTGGGGTATTTTTGACCCCCTAAAGGCTTTTCACGACCTTCAGAAGTGTGATCAGGAAGTTCGATCAGCCTTTTACCTTGTTCAAGGTCGGTAGGTAACGGAAGCCAGTCGCTGACCTCAGAATCTTTTTATTTTGACCTATTTCATGTATTGGTGAAAGCTAATCGCTAATTCAAATTGTTAATTGTACGCACTTCAGGAATTAATTCAAATAACATGAATACACTTAAAGTGTTTCATTCATTTTTTCGGAATGAAAATTTACAGCTGAAGTAATAAAGGAATTGTAACATTTTTTAGCACTATATATATATATTCATTTCGACCATTTGACCGAATAAAATTGAGGTCTGAATTTTATATACACATACATATGTTTACCTACCTAAATAAGTAACAGAAAGTGAAACGAATGATTGAAGTAAACTTTATTTCTATATTTCTATAAAGATAGCATTCTTTATTTTCATGAAATCCTTATTTCTATATTAATATAAATATATATATATATATGTATATATATATATGTACAGATAAATGCTCACCTAATATGAAAAGAGAGACATTATCAATTTGTCATTTCCAGGCTGCATTAACATAATACTCTTGAACTTTATTTTAAAAAGTATTTCTACAATTTGGTTTCTTTTAATTTTAGTGTTACAAAAAGTTCAACAATGGTTCTACAAAAAGTTGGCCATTGTGTTCTGTGCAAATGACCAGTGTTATGTTGGCTGCCAAAGATAGTGAAACTTGCATGCGACGTAATAATCTCATCGCTAACTTGAATGAAGGTTTGTTTCTTAAATTTATTAGTAACCGTTTACATTAATGGTATTGATTAGTGAAAAACCTGTATTGAATAAGTAGCTTAAATACTATGATATTGTCTTTTTTCGTTTCGTTTATTAACTTTACATTATTACATTCTAATTGAGCTTTTCATTAATTTTAGTAAAAACTTGTGATCCTCTTAGTGATAAGAATGTGGTGAATACCTTGTTTCCAACTAATAAAAGTGAAGAAATACGAAATGATTCTGTCATTATTGTTGGAGCTCGTGTGAGTGCTTTTAGTTGTTTGGTAACCGTAATAAATTAGTTGATTTTTGTTTAAAATATTCTAGTTAAGATTTGAAAAATATCATATTAAACCAAAAGTTAATTATTTAAAACTTCTTTTTTTATNTAGTTATATGGGTGCCAAAGATAATTATATATATATATATATATATATATAGTTATAATGCTGTAGGCTAGCGTAGAATTTTTGTTCACTCACTTGTAAGTGTGAGAATTTTACTTTAAAAGTTCAGAAACTCATATTTATTCTTCGGATTTCATAAATGAAAGTCGACTTTTTGACCCGAAAAATTTCGTAACTTTCTAAAGAAAAAGAAAAAAAAATTGTAATTTCATTATTAGGCATTTATGTAAAAAAAGAAACTGCTGTCTTACCTTTGCTGTGTTTGTGGACATCAGTGATGCGTAGGAAAGAAGAAAGTCATTCAATTGGAAATGATGAGATGTAGACAATAAATTGAAAGTTCAATTATGACCTCTACTTATAATCGCCCACGTGATAAATTTAGTTTACTGTTATAAATGTTTCGCATCAATAAAAATACTGAAAAGGAATATTGCTTTTAATTTTACTTATGGTTATATAAAAGATTTACTAATTATTATGCAACAATTCAAAATAACGTAGCCATTCTAATATTTAATATTTAGAAATGTAAATATTTCATTCTGCTCTTGTTTTAGAAGTTTTAGACTATCATTTATATATGTATATATATATAGCAAAATGACTTTACATCCTGCGGAAACGTTTATATTAATCAAAAAAATATAAATACACTTACAAAAATCCTACATAAGACGAAAACTACATTACTTTATTATGCAGTTTTAGTCAAATCGATCAAAAACTTGAAATATTATTGAACCCGTGAGTATGAAAAACGGAAAGCGTAAATTCCGAACAAGCTCCCTGAGTCTCAAATAATGTTAAAGCTTGAACCGAAGATAAATTTTAAAAGCATGGTGTTAATTTGTGATGAAGTGGTAGCAAATGGTAGTATATTTTACCAGAAAAATTTACGATCTGTATTAAATTACTGTATTTAAATGAATATATTTTTATGGGCATAATTTTATTTTTACGGTCAGTGGCTGTAACACGTTTTGCCACTCACTGAGCGAAAGATAACTCTGAAATGTTATGTAGTGTACTTAAAAAAATATATCAAGATATTTCATGAACTACTCATTAAAACCTGAAAACTATAAAGAGGTGCACTTAATTTTAAAATAGAAGCACATTTTTAAACTTTATTTTCAAATAGAAGTACGTTTTGCTACAAATTTGTGCACATTCAAAACTAATTTGTCTTTTATATTTACAGGTTCTAAGTCTGAGCCATACTATGGAGTAAAAATTGGCAAATTTATTACACATTTTCATAATATTCAAGGGGATGTATATACAGTAGATGATAAAACAATGTTTGTTAAAGGCTTTCATTATGATGGTAAAGGCCCAGGTATGTATTAGTAGCTTAATTCACTTGTGATTAACATTGCAAACAATATTTCCTTACTTAAAATGCATTCAGCGCCAAAAATAATGATGAAAACGAACATTTTTAGTTCGTGCTGAAATTTTATATTTACAACAATATTTTTTCTTCCGCTACTTTACAAGGATTTCAAAAAGTATTAAATACGTTTATTAGGAATTTGGTATTTTTAGCATTTCAAAAAGTAATTAGCAAAAATTACATTATTTAATGATTGATGTTATATCGAGATATTTTTAATTTAAAAATGACTTGAAAATGCAGTTTTTGTCATTGTAAAATAATTTTTCCAAAAGAGAGGTTCTATGAAATTCAACATATGAGCGATTACCGTAGAAAAACTAAAATTAAAGACATTACAATTTGATCATAATTAGTAACACATTTCAGGTTTTTTATCCTTACTTTTCCAGCATTTTCAATAGCGAAGTTCTATAGGTATGTGGATTGAAGATATGATATTTGAGCAATTATGCTTTAAAGTATTTTGATAAATTATGTACCACATTGGTCAAAAAGCCTCAAGACTCGCTACAAAAAAATTATCTTTTTTTTTCTTTTTCAAAAATTCAAATTCTTTCATCCACATTTCTTTAAGATTGATTCATTCATTCCGAATTCCATTTTTTTTTCTCTATCATTTCAATGCTTCTTTTATGAAATGGATCGTCCAGATCCCCAATAAATGCTTCAATTAAATTTTTTGCTTCAATTTTTTCCCATTCTTTTGAGAACTGATAACAGGTAGTTGTAGTTAGGAACCAGATCTGAAGTGGGTGGGATTCTGTTTTCTCACCGTAACCATCGAATTGTAGCAATAAACGTAATTTGAAGAAAGAGTTCTTCGGAATCATTTCTTCTTCATTCCATCCTTATAATTTAGACTAATATCAGCTATTATTGTATCTGTTCTCCAAACAGATGAAAACCCAATTTTATTCTGCCTATTAACCTAAGTGTTAAACCTAAGTCTAATCCATTTTTAGTTATCCACACAAAAATTATGTTTTTTCCTCCTAAACAGCTCCAAGAAGTACTCCGAATCATTCGCAAGTTACTGGGCTTCTTTCACAGTAAACAAACTCGGTATGCATTTGGAAAACATCTTTTTTGAGTAAAATGCTACTAAATTCGTCGGCTAAATTATAATCTGTCTCTTTGCAAACTACCGATGTCATTTGTTAGACTTATTGCAAGGAGCCTTGTTGGTGTATTGCTAAGTGAAATTGATAACTGTGGTGTGTTAACTATCTCATGCAGTGTCTTTTGCCTGTTATCCAGTACAACTTTCAGTAATTATTTTTACTTGTTTCAAACGCAATCCTCTCATTTGGATATCTTCAGCATTCGGTTCATCGATGACCGTACGACCCCGTTTAAATTGCTCAAGACACTGACAATGGTTGCTAATGACGAAAAAGATGCATTACTATATTTTTCAAGCCATTGTTGAGTTTAAACGCTGCTTTTTCCCTTCAAATTAAAGTGTTTTATCAACACAAATATTCGGTTTTATTCCTTGCTTTGACATGTCTCTACTTTTTTTTCTGACTTGAAACTTCTTAACTGAAACTTTAATGTGAAAAGAAATAATGATCGAAATGTCACGAAACTTAGGCAGGAATCTTTTGAAAGTCATTAATATCCAATACGCGAATTTGACTTAAACAGCCTCGTTTGTGGGTTAGACTAGAACCTTTGTGACGGACACGTTGAATATCTTAAAACTAATAAACTTTATGAATTTTTTAACACGCATAATTTTTGGTGCGCTAAAAGTTGCTTAATTTATTTTTATAACTGTGTAATAATTTGAAACACTTAATTTCTGATTATTCTGACAACAGTTTATAGAGGTATATTTTTGTGTTATTTGACTCGTTGTCAATTATGTCAAATATTAAACGAGGGACCTGTAAACATAGCACTGAATGCTGAATGTAATCTAAATATGAGAGCTTCAACGTTAAATTTAAGTATATCATTTATAAATACTGTTTTGCAGTTAATCATTCGAGAAGAAGCGTTATGAATCAAATTACAGGATCATTTAAAGTTGTTTATTTTTTAAATTCAGATATGATAGAAAAGAGTACTCCTTGATTTAACGCGAATAAATTAATTGATAAAAAATATTGTTTGATTCTTTCATTATTTTTATCATACTAAAACATTATAGAGTAGAATTTCAAAATATAGATAAAAGATGATATTATTTTTAGAATCAATTGATGTAATTATATGAGAAATTCCTATACCAATGAATTGCTTTTTACCGTACCAGCAACTTTGAGATTTTATTTCTTATAATTTTTTTTTAAAGAGAGGGGTAAAAAAATGAATGGAAGTATTTTAGTGATTAGCGAAAGTTACAATTGCGAGACAATCATTTAATCAAGTTAAACGACAAAAAGTTTTAACCTTTTACATAAAATAAGCAAAAATATGTCAGAAAAAGCAAGAACTGAATTTTTAACAAAACACTTAAATAATAGTAAAATAATAAAAGTTAGAAGAAAAATTAGAATCAAAATATCGCCAACAAAAGATGGTGCATTAAATTACACAGATTTCAAAGGAAAAAGTCCAAGTAAACTTAAAAGATTTTGTTATTTTAGTCAAAAGTCAGAAAATTGGAAATATTCTGTAGTTAAGTAATGATTAAGAACGATGCTTTTGTTATGATACACGGCATCAATGTTGAATTTGTTTTGTATAAAATATGCTTGGAATAAATGACAATTGCAATCTTTTTAAAACAATTAAGACATCATTAGATAAATTTTTTTAAATTTCAACTATTTATTCATTGCTTTTTTGATACTGATACTATTCTTTTAATAGTTCAAAATTGGGGAAAAAAATTGTCTTTGTTAAATGGAAGGTAAGACTTGAAATTCTACAAAATTTTTTAAGGAAGGTAATTTTAATAAGTTAAGGTAATATAATTTAAATATAATATTCATATAGCATTAGGTTCAATAAAGTAATTTTTAAATAAGGTAATTTTTAAGGTACTTTTTTTAAAGTCATACAGAAAAAAATTAACATAAAAGGGAAACATTAATAGGTTTGTTAATTACTTCTTGAAATTCTTGCAAAACGGTAAATAATCTTAATAAGATGTTTCGAAAAAAAATTATTTTTGTAAAAGAAACGAAAAATGTAATAATTACATTTTATTTAAATTCGCTATTACATTTTTCGATGTAACTATTTAAAAACATACTAAAAACATACATGATTTGGGCTAATAGCAAGAATTAATTACAAAAAAACTAGGAATAATATGGATAATACAGATTGATAACACAAAGATAAGCAAAATATATCGTCAATTTTTATAGATAAGCAAAATATATAGTCAATTTTTATAAATAAGCAAATTATATCGTCAATTTTTATGGGCAAGCAAAATATATCGTCAATTTTTACAGATAAGCAAAATATATCGTCAATTAAAGTTCTAGTTATTTTTGTTTTGTTTTGTTTTATGTTGGTCATTAATCATATTTTTAAAATAATAGATAAGTCTCTGCCATAAAATAAGATACATTTTCTTAATTTTCTCAAAATAATGTTTTAATATTATATAAAATTAGCTCAAAGGTAAAAAGTGACAATTATTATAAATAAAGACCTAGACCTCAACCATATAGCTGATTCTTAATGATTGGTTCTTAATTCTTAATTTCAGCAATTTATTACGTATTATCTAATGATAAGTAAAATATAACTAATGTACACTGTTAGAAATTTCACGGAAAAATTGTTATTTGATTGTTATTTTACCATATTCGAACAAAACAGCCAAATAACCATAAATAAGATGATAATCAAACTGTTAACTGTGAAAAACCGTTTATTAATTGCTTTCACTTAATACGGTTAAACAAGCCTAATTTCATCTCACTAACTTAGCCCACATAATGAAGCCACCTTGCAACTGCATACATATTATAGGCGAGAGGGCTAATCTGTCAGTCCCAGTGTTGACACTGTTCCCTTCACATGAAGAGTTTCTGGCGCCCTGCACGCTCCAGTACCCATTATCTAACGAAACTAAGTGACTGAAAACCTAGTTACGTCCACTTAAATTTTTTTAATGAATTTAAAACCATGCTAGTTCTAAATAGTTAAAAAACAGTATAGCTTTGTATTCATGGTTTTATAACCATACTAGTTGTAAACGGTTTCAAAACCATAAAGGTAAAAACCGTTCTTTACTGTAAACTGTACGGTTAATTAGATGGACAGACTGTTGCTGGTTTTTTTACCATAATTTTAGAATGAAAATTCTAACAGTGTAATTGCAAATTTGTATTGAAACTGCCGTTTAAATCTGTTTTTATGAAAGTAACATCAACATTACCACCAACATCAGCATCATCAATGACGTCAAAAATCTTAAAAAGATAATTAGCGTTCATTAATTACTATTACATGTACTTGGGCGTAAATAGTTGAATTAAATTGATATATCGGGTTTCTTTTTTTTTTTTTTTTTTTTTTGATNTTTTTTTTTTTTTTTTTTTTTTTTTTTTTTTTTTTTTGAAAAATAACCTCCACCTTAGTAGCTTACTTTAAAAATTATTGACAACCCTGTAATAAAATTGCAGAACATTCCTTCACATATTTTTGTTCACAGATTTATTAAAATGATATATATATATATATATATATACATATCCAGATAATGTCACCCTCAAAAAATATCTTATAAAGCACTATTTTAGACCCTGTAAGAAAGGTGCATTTTAAGACCCAAGCTGAGTGTTTTAGGGGAAATTTTTTGAAATAGTAACGTTTCAGTTCAAAGCCTGTTTCTATAGCAGAAGTTCAGATGCTTTCATGTCTACGTATAATTTCAATAGATGTGAAATAACCTGTTTTCAACGTAATACAGTGATTGATAGTTGATTTATTATTATATTAAGGTAAATAGCCATATGATGTTTTGGACCATCAGAAAGCTATTTACCAAAAATTTTCAATTAAGAATTTTTTTATTGATAGTGAGTTTTTACCAATAACAAAACTACAACTTTTAAAAAAAGGTAAAAGAAACTAATGGTAGTTACTTTCTAGTTTCACAAAATTCGGATATGACTTCTTCTTACTTATTCATGTAACGCGTATCAATCATCTAATTGAGTATCTGTTCGTATAACAAATACTTCAGGTTACATCAGAATTACAGGTTATATCAGAATGAAAAAAGTAAGATGAAAACAACTTACCAAATAAGCGCATTACTACGTCATTAGAGAATAAAAAGAGTATGATTACGAATTAATATTTTTTAAAATTTTGTTAAAAAAATAATAAAGCACAATTTTGAGCTATTTTTTTCCAGTTCAAAATGCGTTGCATTCAGTGACTATATAATACTATTTTGATAATTATTTCTTATCTTATTGTATTTAACAAGCATTTTTTAAATTTATTTGCCGTTAGTAATATGTTTTTCACTTATTGGATTTTGCGTGAATACCAAAAAAAATCTAACTTAGTATTTTCCGGTGAAATTTTCTTTGTATAGATTGTTTCGATAATTATTCAAATTATGTTCTATGGAATCATTTTTCTAATTTAAATGGAATCTATTGCTTGTTTTTTTCTGAATTTTTATTTAATATTTTCTTTATTATTTAGCAAGAAACTTTTAAAAATTATTTTGCCTACCAAAAGAATTGATGTAAAATATAAAATCTTAGATTTAATAATCTTATGATTTTGAATAATCTTAGATTAAATAATTGGACGTACTAACATACAGTGTTAATGACCTAAAATATTTAAATTCATTAGTGCAAACAATAAGCTAAGTTACGAAATCAGGCATAAAAGCACACATTCTCTCAATAAACACACATTTTTTCGGGTGAATTCAGAAAAAAATTTGAGTTTAAAAGAGTTTGTACACCTCTAATAAATTTTTAATTACAGAAAGATAATAAAAAATTAAAGGTAATTTTAAATTCTTATATTTATTTAAATTTGGAATTTTGTCATTGAAATTCATCGTGTTTAAAAGACTGTAAAAATTGCAAGCCTTACATTAAGTTTTTTCGATTCTTATTTAATTAAAAAATTACTGTAAAGTTATTTTTTAACATAAAATCATGTTTGTGTAAGTAAACGCGACAAATGGGTAGAAAAAATTAATGAGCGAGATAAGGTCTAAGAAATATGGTGCAAAACGAAAAGTAGATATAATACTTATGAGCTCAGACACTTTCAGCCACTCAAATTATTTAGATCCTCTTTTCAGACCCCCTCTCCTTCTCTCTTATTTAGAGAATCAGTACTCTGCATGTGCCTGGGGAAGAAAGTATGCTCATTTGAAAACAAAAAAAATTGTGTTTGATTTCGTAATTTGAATTATTAAATTATAGTATTTGATTAGCATAATAAAATCTACCCCTTTAACCAATTGACTTCAAAAATATGCAGATGGAAATAAAAGCCGACAGGTTTCAAGTGTTCAAAAATTAGCATTCACATGACTTGACGAGTGAAAAAAGAAAAAAAAAAGTTATTTGAAATATAAAACGTAAAGTTGCCAACGAAAAATAGACAATAAAGTTGAGAAACAAAACTAGAAAAACCACAGTAGCCGAGTGTGTAACAAAGAAAAAAAAATAAATTTAAGAAGAAATAAAGAGGAAAATACAGAACAAAAAAAATCATTATGGCCGAGAGGGGCAAATCAGGGTAAAATTCATTTCCACGTGCTATGGAGAGGTGGTGAGAAATTAATATCGTTAACACTCATATGAATGAAACAAGATTTCAGGGCATCAAGATGAGCTGCTGTGACTAGGGTGGAAATAATTTTGGCATTGTCGAAATTTAGTTTTTCCCCAAAATTCCAACAATGAGCAGAGATTGATGGTTTATTGAATTCTTGGTAACGGACATATCTATCGTGTTTCTTAAATCTTAAAAGACTTAAGGAACACGATAGATACATCCATTTTTTTTATTTTTTATTCTATTTATTTATTTTGTTTCACTCTCGGTTACTGCGCTTTTTCTAACTTTGCTCATTACATTTATTTTCCTTTTTTTATTTATTAGAAACTTTACAGTTTATATTTCAATTCAATTTTGTTTCTTCTAAATCACGTCTCGCAAGTCTTGGGAATGGGCGTCTAATTTTGAGGGCTTAAAACATGTCCATGTTTATTTCTAACTGCATATTTTTGAAGCAAATTAAGTTTTTTTAATCAAGTAACATAAATTAAAAATCATGGTCGGAAGCACAAATTGGAGTAAAAATTTGCCACAACTGTGACTCTTGGGTCAATATATGACCTGTCAAAGCTCTGGCCAATTTATTATTAATGAAGAAAAAAAACGTGAAGCAGATGTATATTCGTGACCAAATGGTTAAAACATTCTATTCACTATAAGGAGATAGCAAGTTCTAGCAGACGACTGTATTCCAATTTCACTTCTTAACACAGAAAATTGCTTTTTAGCTTTTTATTAAAGTATATGGGTCATTTTCAAAAAGGTGAGCCATTTTGAAAATGCAGCTACACATCATTTCAATAGTTCTTAATTCGAATATAAAATAAAATAAATCTCAGATGGGGTCATATCTTCTTGCAAGTTTTCACCCCATCAGTCATGCTCTTAAAGCTTTCGAATAGGAATTTTACAGATCCCTTGAAAGTAGCTTATGAAATTCTACTCGTTAGATTATTCAATGGGATTTGTTTTGTTTTTGTGCATGATCAATCATTTACGTGCTTAGTTTCACAGAAACTGTTCTGGTGAAACTTTATTGCTTTAAGCAATTAAAACTGCGAACGAAAATGTATCTAGTGTGATTTACTTACAAAATTACTTAAATGAAATTAAAAAAATAAATAGAGGAAATTTCGAAAAGAATATCATTAATTATCTTCGTATTTAATTTCTCTCTTCTTTTTTTTCTTTCAGATGCCTATTTTTGGGCTGGCACAAGCAGTAAACCAGATACTTCCGGGTTTATAGTCAGTCATAATAAAGAATCGTAAGTTTTATTTTCGTATTTTTGAATGAATATTTCTGAAAAAAATATATTTAAAAATACGCGTACTTCGGAAAAAAATTTTTTTTAACGTCTCTTATACACGTTTGTTGAAAAATCTACCGCATATTTTTCAGATAAAATTTTAGGAATTATTTAGGTTAGATGAAAATTCTGTTTTTAATCTATATTTCAGTCTAAATAAATCACTGTTAAATTAGCTATAAAGATATCATAATTGTTAACTCTGAAGAGGAGCAAAAAAAGTTTACGTACTTCAAATAATAATTTTTAATCTTTTTAAGTGGTTAACAAAATTAATTTAGCGCTTAACAATTTTAACAATTAATTAAACCTTTAACAATTAATTTAGTGTTTTTTTTATTTTTATACTTCCCTTTTTGGCATTAACACTAATTTTTATTTACATAATTTTTAAAAATTAATGAAAAGGTAAGAAAATTCATTTTAAAGTGCATTTTGAATAGTAGCCTGCCTAAAAATGTGTTGGAAAAATATTTAGAGAAAACAGTATTTTGAGTAAGCAGCAATATTTAGACTAAATTAACTTTTAATATATTTTAAGGCAAAGATTAAAAGAATTTTAAGAATGTTTATAAACATCTGATAAAAAAAAAGTAGTTTAATCATTTTGGAAATGAATTATACAATATTGCAAACAAAATATGTCTTTTGATTTTTAATTGAACTATATACATTTTCAAAAAGATTTTATTTAAGCGCTACTTGAAATAATAAAATGCAAAAACAGCTTTTTAACTAATAAATTTTACTTTATTTTTATAACCTATTATGAATCATTTATCAACTGATTTTATAGCGTTTATCTTTTTTATAGTATAATTGCATTTTTTCAGATCAAATATTCTAGAAAAATCGGATAATCAAGATATGATTCTCCAATTACCAGATGATATGAAAATAGAAGATATACGGTGGTTATCGGTTTGGAGCAAAAAGTTTTTGGTCAGTATTAAAATTTGATATTTGCACATTATTCCTTCACGCAATAATTTAAGAATACGTTTATTATTCTACTAACAAAAGCTTTTACAAGTAATATAATAAAAACTAATATTACTAAATAATATTACTAAATAATATTATTAATAATTATTAATAATTATTGAATAAAAACGAAATAAATATTGATTAGACGAATTATTTAAATTAAGTTTTTAAGCTGTTTGTAGTAAATGCTTTCAAAAATGTTATAACGACGTGACATTGTACAAAAAATTTGACATTAAGAAAAAAAATAACTTTTCACGTCTTCGTGTATTTTTATAAGTAGTTCTTCAATTTGTTATTAATATTAATTTCAGTTTCAACAAAACTAGCTCTGAAAAAAGTGACCGAACATAAGTGGAAAATACTTGCTAATAATTACTTATTGTTTTCATTACTTTAATTAGACATTCAATTTTAATACAAAATATTTTGTTAATAACTGAGGGCACAGTTTTGTTTTACAAGAAAATTATTATATCCTGAAATATGAATTTTTTTACGCTTCGAATTTTTATTTAAATTAATAGTCCGTAAAAAAAAATTACGTATAACAATTAGATAAGTTTCGTATAAGCGAAAAAAATATTCGATTTTATAAGACATTAAACTGTTTTTAACCATACTATGAATAGCTTTAGTAACAAAATCATTTTATGATATCATTTAAACTCATTTCAACTAAATAAAGGCAACAAGACTAATTAAAAAACAAATAAAATGTAGTTATCTGTGAAATCTTCTTATGGATAACGTCTTAACGCAAAAAAATGTTACTTCATGTAAAGATAGGAAAAAAGATATTAAAACTGAAACTTATATTCGAATCTGAGTTTTTATAAGTTAGAATATATATGACGCTGAAGTTGCTTATATCCTTTACTTAAATACGAATACTAAGAAATTAAATATATGTTTAGATCTTTTAGACCACTGAATTTAAATACATTTTATTAATAATTAACAAGAAATATCTAATTAATAATTTCAGAATAAGCAATTACGGTAAATTATTTAAAACTATATTAGTTGCATATTTTATAGGGATAATTAATAATGAAATTCCATGGATAGATGCAATATCGATGTCATATAGATAAAATCTTAAACTTCATATCAAACAAAATTTATTGCTAATGATTATATTAACTTATGTCTCATGGAAACGGTAAAAACTTAAGAGACTGTATATTGTATAGCACATAAAAATTTGAAAATAAAATTATAAAACTTTTATTTTAAACATTTTTGTTTTAAGTTTCCATATTTTGCATTTTATCGAGCATAAATTACCTATAAAAGTACGGGAGTTCTTCAGATGTCAGAAACAATGAATAACATTTAAATTAAAAATTAAATGCTTCAGTCTAAATTTATGGTTTTTCATTATTACAATTTTTTAGGTTAATATGGTGAAGGTGAGGAATTTACATCTTCATGTTTCAAGTAATTACAGTCTCTTTTCCAAATTGTTAGACGCACTATAAGATTCTATGTAAAATCTTAATTATCAGGTAATAATATACAATTTTATTGTTTTTACGCCACTGAAACCGGTTTGCCCTTGTTTACCTTCGTCTATCAATTGGTTTACATTGTAATGCAATACTTTAGAAATAAATACAAATAGAAAGTACATAAAAAATCTCCCGAATAAAAACCCATTACATGTATGTTTAAATATAAAAGTATTGCATATAAACTCGTGCAAAACATGCTTTTAAAAAACTTGAGGGAGTCTAATAATTTGATCTAATTATTACAATATAATGACACAATACCTGTGACATAATAAGTATTCTATATTTATATAATATATCGGATAATTTATGCAATCTTCGAATTTATATTATATATCATCTTATTTAACCAATTAGTACCCGAAAGTAAACAAGTGCAAACCGGTTTCAGCCGCGTAAAAACAATAAAACTGTATAGTATTAACTAATAATTAAGATTTTACACAGAATCTTACAGTGCATCTCATAATTTGGCCAGAGACTGTATTCTTGAGATAGAGGAAAGTTGTCTAAATCTTATCATTTTTCCCACATTAATTTTTATCATTCACAAAGAAAAATACGTTTGAAATATTTTATTGATAAAATATAATAATTAGCTACTAATATTACTTTTTTGTACATAATATTTGTGCAGTAAGTACTGAAAATTAATTGTTTTCACAAGGTCTTCGTATGATTTAGAAAACCAGTTGCCTAGTTCATACCACTAGCTCCCTATATTGGACCGAGCTAGAAAATTTAAGCAAAAATGGACAACCAAATATATATGCAAGTCCTAAAAGAAGTAGTATTGTAATATAAAATGCAGTACTATATTTTCTGAACTATTATGAGTTCAATAAATGGAGCAACTAAAAACATTACGATAAAACATGAAATTTTTTACTAATAAACTCAAATATGACTCTTACTTGAAAAATTTATGTTTTTTTTCTTCCCTTTAAAGAGTTTTTGAGCGTATTATTTTATCAAAATTTAAAAAAAATCTGAAAATTCTAAGAAACGATATTTTATCTTAAGCAAGTAAAAATATCAAACCTTCAGAAATAGCCCGATCCTATATAACTATGTAATTTTTATTCATTGTTGCGCTATGACTAAAAATGTGAAGCTGAAAAAATTAAAAATACCTCTGTGTGATAACGAACAGTGTTCCACCTTTATCCCTTTTTATTCTTTCAAAACTCTTTATTTAAATATAAGAAAATGGCAACTCTAGACTTAATTGACTCGCAATTTTCAATTGAAGGATAATTTAAGAATATCGAATTTCTAGCCAAGAGAAATTGTGAACAATTACACAAAAAGGCAAAATAATCAAATCGAATGAAATTTTGAATTTAGAAAGCATTTTTAAATTAGCTATTCTTTTCACAATAGACTATGAATAAAAGTTTTTTCTTCTTAATTTTCACATTTTTTAATTCATGATTTGTCTATAAAAACTAATTTTTTAAGAAATAGAAAAAATTGGTCTTCATGTCTTTGCTAGGTATTTCCCAATTTAAGTTTGAAACTCATTCAATGTTAATAAAAAAAACTTTCTACTTGTTTGGTGTTAAAAGTTAAATGTAAATTAAGTAATAAATAACAGCTACTGTATAATTTTTCCAAGTAAGTTATATTTTTAAAAAAAAAATTTTGTTGAATTATTTTATTATTTAAATAAATTTATATCTTGGTCATGGAGCCATACTTTTAAAGTAAGTACATAAACGTACGATTTTTTCGTAAAAATACGCAATTAAGCATTACAACTTGTTTTGAGATACTGGATTGTGTTATTATACTAGATATAAGATACTGGATTGTGTTATTGTGTAAGTATTTTTGGAAAGTATTCAAAAATTATTCCTTGATGCTGTGATAGGTATTATCTAAGGTAATTATCGATTTATTTCGATAGATTTGTTTCTAAGAAATTTCAAAAAGAAGGTAAGAAAATCTTTTATCTGTATTTTTTATAAAGAAAGTCCTTTATCCGCACTGTTAATCTTTGCCTGACTATATAATTAGTCAAGAAATTATAAAATTCACAAATCTAAAAATAGCACCGAAAAATGCTGGAATTCTGTTTTAAGACCAAAAATAAAGATTTTCCGTTTGAGTTTTAATGTTAGAGCATGATAACATCTGAAAAACCACGTTTTCAAATTTTGGAATAAGCCTTTTCTTTGCACGCAACACATATGATTTAATCTCGCATGATGCGTATGAATATGCATGATTAGATTTCAGACATTACATTTCAGAAATCGAAACACAAACATTTCTTAACGACATTCTTAAACTAATTGCACATTATCTGGAATACCTATTTTGCATAAAATTTCTCCCGTTTGCTATAAACACGTGACCGTCTCGTGAAAACTAATCTTAAACCAACAGATTCGCTTAAAGTACTTAATTTTGGAAAACATGAAAAATATTCTTCAGCGAAAATAAACCTGATATTTTAAGCCGTTGCCATTTTGTCATGCAGTTATAAATTTTAAAGTTTTCTTTTTTAATTCACATGGTAAATAACAAATTTGTTAACCGAATTGTATGAGACCACATTTAATTTGATATAGACACAGAAGAAAAATTATTTCGATAGAATTTTAATTAAGTCAGAAGGACAGTTTTAGAAGAATTAATAATACAACTTTTCGAAAATTGACTGTTTTTATTAGTCTAGAAATTTCGTTTAGAGACTTGAAACTGAGAAAAACACTAAGACTGACTAAAGAATGACACTTAGTTGCTTACATTTTTTTCCCAAATTATAGATTTTTTTACAGTGAATGCGATAAGTTATAACATCTATTTTTGTAATTTTATTTATGAAATGCTTGAAGGAAAGATTTAAAAAGTAAAGTAAAAAAACATCTTTGACGATAATCAATTTAAATTATAAGTAAATCAATCCTAAACCAAATCAAATTATAAATTAAAAATGTGAAACAAAACACAATTAATTAAAGTAAAAATTTTATTGCTCGAAACTGGGTAATAGATTGTTGTAGATTTATTTTCTTTTAAAAATATTCTCTAACAGTATTCTCTATTTGTGCAATGTTCTCAATCCTTAGCAATATTCTCCCTTTTTAGTAATATTCTCTATTTTTAGCAAATATTCAATACAGGGGTGCGGCAAAAAAAATTGGGCAAAGTAATTGCATCATAGAATAGAAGCTCATTTCAACTCATTTCTTTTTTTGTGCTCATTTCTTTTTCGTTTACCACTTTAATTATAAAATATTTTATAATATATCTCTAATTTCGAGTTTTGTTTTTTGGCTTTTTTTATAATGTTAAGAAAAAGATCTGCAATTTTATAGTTGTTTAGGCTAGGAAAGCGAAGTGTAAATAAAATTGTTCGTTCGCTCTGTACTCACTCAATCGTTGTTTATAAAAATTGAGACTTTCTAAAGCAATCGCTTCTGCGGAAATGTGATATATTAAAGGTAGAAGACATTGCTGATAATTTCAAAACGACTCTGCGACGCTGCAAAAAGTGGTCACTTTGAAACCATTTAAATTTATTTATCAGTAAAAATCAACACTTATTATTATTCATAATATTTTATTAATTAATTTATTTTTAATAAAGTTATATTAACTACTCTGCACTCAATCGTTGTTCACAATAGTTTGAACTCTCTAAAGCAATCACTTCGGTGGGAATGCGTTAAATTAAAAGTCTACTGTCATTATTATTTATTATATTTTATTAATTTGTTTATTCTTAATAAACTTAGATTACTCAATCGTTGTTCACATAAGTTTGGACTCTCTAAAGCAATCGCTTCGGTGGAAATGCGTTATATTAAAAGTCTATTCTCATTATTATTTGTTATATTTTATTAATTTTTTTATTCTTAATAAAGTTATATTAACTACTCTGTACTCAATCGTTGTTCACATAAGTTTGGACTCTCTAAAGCAATCGCTTCGGTGGGAATGCGTTATATTAAAAGTCTACTGTCATTATTATTTATTATATTTTATTAATTTGTTTATTCTTAATAAAGTTATATTAACTATTCTGCACTCAATCGTTGTTCACAAAAGTTTGGACTCTTTAAGGCAATCGCTTCGGTGGGAATGCGATACATTAAAAGTCTACTCTCATTATTATTTGTTACATTTTATTAATTTATTTATTTTTAATAAAGTTGCATGAAAAATTGTTTGTCTGTTTTTTTTCTTGCCGCCTCCTGTATTTAAGAAACTTTCCCTAATTTTGTTTAGAAATATTCTATTTTATTTCAGACTAGTTTTGGATATGTTATTTTTCCCGAGACGATTGTACCGCCTCGGCCAGTTCTTATCGGCCCATTAAGAGACACGTCAAAAGGTGTATCAACTGGTAACATATTGATACTTGATTCTCAAACCTTTTTAATACCTGATTTCAACTATGATGGATCTGGAAAAGGTAAGGCTTAAATAATGCATTAGATTTAACTGAAGCATTTGATTTCAAAAACAGCTTCATTTATATTTTAGAGACAAAAAACAATAACAAAAAGTGTTTATCAAGACATTCAAGTTTAGGAAAAAATTATTATTTCTGAATGGAACCGATGTTCGTGTTGTTTTAAGGTATTTTTAACCATCAAAATATGTTGATTGTTATTTTAATTTATAAATATTTCTAATTTGGATCATTTTTATGATAAATATAGTTTTTGTGTAATCGGTAGAAAAAATTCAAATTGTACTTGCTTTAATCTGCAGTTGAATTGTGTTCCACCAAAAAAATAAATGTATGGTACAAAAATGAATTGAATTGAAATTTTTAAAACATTTTTGTATTTTTTTATCAAGGCATTATTATTTTGATTAAAAACACAAAAAAGTAAGTTTTACAGAAATTTATTATGTTTTAAGAGCTAATTTTTATCAGAATTGTTTCATTCCCTAAAATTGAAGGTTAAGTGATAGGTTTATAACTTTTGAAAAAGAAAAAAAAAGGAATAGAAGGATTAAAAAATTAAGAAAGCGAATACCTCGGGTTTTATTCTTTTTTTTAGTAACTTCCACAGTTTCGTCGTTAAAAAACCCTTTTGATACAAGTAAAAATGTTAGTAACTATTCCTTAGCAATAAAGTAATTTTTTATCAAATGAAAATGCACACATCATTAAGTAATGAAACTAAAAATGCAAATTATTCAAGATTTCCACTGGTTTCCAAAAAATTTAAATACTATCGAAAAATCCTACATTTATATACAAAAAGGTATCAATTACGAATATCCTCTTAAGCTGTTTAGAAAATTAATATAAAATGCGTTTTTTTGTCGTTTCTATAAGTTACAGTTTACACATTAAGGAAATTATTTGAGTATGTACAGTGCTCAAAATAAAAATCGGAACACCCTGAATAACTTTTGATCTAATGATTGAATTTGTAAGTTCAAGGACTCAATATTAACGGTTCGAAGGGGGTGGCTTCAAATATGCTAATTAAACAGTGCAGACGATATTTTAAGAAATAAAATCAGACACTAAAACGTACTTTCTCTGAATAAACGTGCCTTTTTTTTTGGCGAATTGGGATTGATGGCCCTCAAAATATAGGGGATAGCCGCAATCTGGGACAGATGGTTCTAATAGTTTGGTCAGGATTGCAGTCCAAAGTTTGAACCTCTTAATCTTAATTTCAATTTTTTCGTATTTCATCATATCGTGAGAACTTTTTAAGCGAATTCAAAAATTTGTTAACACAACTATAAAGCTCGTTTATTCAAAGACAATAATATGCAAAAATAGCTTTTATTAAATATTTGTTATTTTTTATAATTTTATTTAATAATAGTCGAAAAAATTTTGAACTATAAAGTATAAAAAATTTTCAATCATTTCCTAGAAAATAATTTTGCAAGGCAAAACACAAAATTTGAACGAAATTGGTCGAATGGTTCCAAAGAAATTGAAATTTAAAAAAAAATGTGCTTTTAAATTTTGATTTCTCAGGAACTAATCGACCGATTTCGCTCAGATTTCGCATTTTACCTAGTTAAGTTACATTCTTTAAAAGAATGTAAAAAATTTTATACTGTTAGATTGTTTGTATTAAATTTTTTCGACTATTATTAAGTAAAATAACAAAATATAATAAATATTTACTAAAAATTATTTTTTAAGAGGAATTATCTTTGGATAAACGAATTTTATAATTGTGTGCCAAATTTCTTTTTAATTCTCCTTAAAAAGCTCTCGAGATATGGTTAATGCACAAAACATAAAATTAACATAAACGGGTTCAAACTTTAAATAGCTCTCTTGAACGAACTATTGGGATCATATTTTCCAGATTGCTGCTACCCTCTCTAGTTTGGGAGTCAGAAATCCGAATCCATCGAAAAAAAAGTATGTTTATTCAGAGAAAGTACTGTTTTTATTTTATTTTGTAACTTAAAATATCGTCTGCACCTATTAATTAGCATATTTAAAGTAACTCCCTTGAACCATTAAGAATGAGTCCAAGAACGTGAAGATCCCATCATTTGATCAAAAGGTATTCAGGGTAGTCTGTTTATTTTTTGCGTACTATACGAGTGCATACTGCAAAATTTTGCAACTAAGTATAAACAAATTAATAAATAATTAAAAATAATTTGGATGAAAAAAATATATTCTTGTAAAACAAGTTTCCAGAAAACTTCACAGTTGTTAAACTCATTACATTTCATTTAATGAATGAATCAACTATTAATAATCTAATCATTTTTTAAGAGCTTTATAACTTTTATCATAAAATCAAATCATACCTCTAGGGGTACTGAATTGTAGATTGTTAGTTCCCTGGTTCAGGTCAAAATTACGATCTGTGGACGAATGAATGGATGCATGAATGGGTCCAGCCTATGAAAAGGCAGTGACGCATGTATGGCTGAAGTCGTAATCTTGGCTATAGATGGCGCCACAGAGAAAAAAGACATGCCCCCTCTGCCTTAAATTTGCAATGTTTTCACCAAGCAGGCTTGCTGGCTTTGGCATGTGTCATTAGGAACAACAATATGCAGTGACTTCCTTAATTTTTTATTCATATGATTAAAAATGCGTGTTAGATTAATCCAAGTTAAATGAATATTTACGTTCCTGCCTGCTTAAGCTATGTTTTTCTTTTCAGGAGTATATTGGTGGTTATCTAAAGATGTGGAATCAAATATGGATGATATAAAACTACTTGAAGAAGATGGAAGGTTCGTATTAATTATGTGTGATTATGTGTTAACTTCGTAATTGAAACAAAGCATGAAATTAATTTTTGAGATTACCTTACTTAAAACCTTTACCTAAAGTCTCAGTATAATAAATCCCACTCCTCAAGTAAGGTGAGCTTCAATTGCTGTTTCAAGTGCATTCTAAAAAAGCTCGATGGGTCTTGACTGACATACTTTGAATATCTCTGGTTTCGATGTATTCCTCGGTCACCCCAGCTATATATGAACGCGTGTTTTTACTCATAAAAATGAACTGAGGAAAAACAGCGCTTCTGAACACTCTTTAAAATTTTAGCTCTAAACCTCAGAAAATGTCTTTTTGACACCAAGTCACTGATGAGCATTGATTCAGTATAAACAATGATTCTTGATTTGTACACATATGAAAAGAATTAGCGATCCGGTACCATCCCTCCAGCATCATGGCAGTGGCGGAGTTTGGGGTATGTTTGCAGGTGTGATTTTGGAATGTGTTACCCACCTAATTTATCTTTACAGGAACCGGCCGGATTTTCTCAGACTAAAGCTGATATTCTACAGCCCTAAGTAGGACTGATTAGAAGTATCATCTGTTCTCAGTTCATTTTTTTTTTAAGAATGAAAATACGCGTCCAAACAGGGCTCGATTAACCGAAGAATACTTAGAAGTCGAAAATATTCAAAGGAAGAACCGTGATGACTCAGGGATAGAGAGCTCGATTTCCAATGAGGGGAACCGGGTTCGAGTCCCAGCGATGATTCGTAGATACGAATTCCACAGCCGGCTTGCTCCTACACAGTGTTGACGTAAAATACCCTCAGTAGTAGACTGATAATGGATTATTCCCCTTGCCGTCAGGTTAACCGTGGGAAGTTTTCGTGTTTTTTCCTCTCCATGTAATGCAAATGCGGGTTAGTTCCACTAAAATAGTCCTCCACGAAAGCAAATTTATCCCAATACTTGATCCAGTAGTTTCCTTGCCTTCTGGATTAGGTTCAGAATTAAAAAGCTACAGAGTTGAGCATTGGTAGTCATAAACCCAAAAAATTGGGTTGTCTGTTCATTGACGGTAATAATATAAAATAAAAACCTTCAAAGGATGTAGTGGCCACCCGGATCTCCAGCTCTTAATTCCATAAAGTTTGTCAAGAATGCACTTGGTAGAACATTTGCATACCTCTACCCCTTTCACAAACTTCTAGATGCTTAAAATTGCAATTTATTCTCACAAAACTTTTAATTTGTATAATTGTCCCAAATATAATATGCCGAAGTATTCGCTAATATATTATACATATATTAGCGATTAATTACATATATANTATTCGTGAAAATTTATTTTTTAATTATTTTTCGGACATGAGTATTTAAACTATAGCTTTATCTTGCCTTCTTAAATTGACTTAACCATGACAAAATCTGGACAAAAAATTAAAAATTGAGATTTTTATATATTTGGCATTTTCATATCATAAGTTGCATATATTACAAAAATAAATTTCGTTTTATCAGTTTTCATACATTTTATTTTAGAGTTCATAGCATTAGCCGTAATAGAAAGAAAATAGTTGTCACGTCGAAATCTATTGCGAAGCATTTAACATTATTTTTTCAATTGCACGGCAGATCTAGTATCACCAGGAATATCTAAACTGAAAAATAACCAAAAATGCGTGATTATGCCGTACATATTATTTGAAAATAAAATGAAATTCTCAGTTTATTTTCCTCCTTTTCTGTGGTTGGTTAGGGGTTAAAGGAAGGGGAAAATTATAAAATCTCTTTTAAAACTGCTCATCTTTTTACTTGGGTGACACTACGCTTCTCTTCACTATAGTAATATACCTAAAATTATTTATTTAAATGTAATCTTCACTTTTTATCTTAAAAATTACATCAGAATGAAAGCTTGATTTTACTAAACGTCGTATTAGTAGAGAAACTGTATTTTACAATTTTGTAATAATTTTCATAGTTTCCATTTTCTCAATATCGATTCTATTACTTCATTCCGTTTGGATTTTTAAAAAAAATCAATTTTAAGAAAACGTGTTTTAAAGGTTTATTTTTGTGTTAATCTTGTTTTTAACTAGACACAATGACGTTGTCCGATGACTAAACATTTTCAACTTATTTCTCGAATTATAAAATTATTTCCTTTTATGTAAAGCATATTTGCCTAATAATATGCTCAATTTAATGATTATTAATACTTTTTTTTCAAAATTGAATGCGTCAATTTTTTTAATGGCTGAAATCTATATGTTCATTCGAATCAAATCATTAGAACAAGAGGAAGTTAAATTTAAAGTACGTATCTATTGATTTGCTTAAAATAATATAATTACTGGAATTTTTCATACAAAATAATTGGAAAATTATAACTGTTGCTTGACCACTGTAACCTATAATCAATCGTCAGGTCACATATTTGGGGTAAACATATCTGCAATTAAATTTCGAAAGACTATTAAATTATTAATAACAAAATACTAGTAGATTATAGATTCCAAATTTGTGGCCCTTTAGAATGCGATGCTCTAATTCATGTATGAATGGCAACAAGCTGCTTAGTACAAAAAATGTCTAGTATTTCTATGCTAGTTGTAAATGGTTAAAACGTCGTACAGTTTTGTATTCATGTTTTTTTAAACTCTTCTGGTTGTTAACGGTTTCGAGACCGTAAAGGTAAAAAATGTTCTTTACCGTAAACTTTAATTTGGATGGACAAACTGCTGCCGATTATTTTACTGCAATTTCAGAATAAAAATTCTAACAGTGTAAAAAATAATATGCAAAATAAATAAATAATAGAAAATAATATGAAAAAAATATGTAAAAAATAGTATCAAATGAGGTATGAAAATAAAATTTAATATTATAAAATAATGAATGATCAGGTTGAAAATTTTATTTTTTAAATATGTGGAATTGTCATACTTACATTCTAGTTGCAAAAATAAAATTTGTTTGTGCTGAATCTGCCAGCAACTTTTAAAAAATATGATACAAATGTGGTTTTCATTGTTTTGAATGTTTTTACAATATTCCTTATTTTTTTATTTTTTTTTTATTGTCTACATCTCTATAGGGACTCACCTGTAAAAGAACACATTGGTAAAACTGTCGTTATCATCTTACCTGATGGACATTCTGTATTAGAATACAATGTTTTGAGCTTACGGAGTCTTGAAGATAATGAAGATTATGGTTCCGTGGAATTACCAACTAATTTAAATATTCCACCCTCACCTCGTAACCTTGGATTAGTACCAGAGCAAGAAACGGTGAAAATACTTACGCAATTCATATCACCAATTTAAAAATAATTTTTAGTTAGTTAACGCGGTCAATTTATATTTCTTTCAGGAAAATTCAGGTGATGTATAATAAGTATTGACTAAACATTTCTGTAACGCATGTTTAATTCAAGATTTATATTAGTCATTAGGCACAAAGTCATCAGTCTCAGGTCAAAGTCATTAGGCACAAATCAATTCGATTTTATTCCTTGCTAATTTGAAATTAATTTCAACACAATCAGATCGAGTGTCTCCATTTTCGATGAGTTTTTAACGAAGAATTTTGTTAAATAATTTGCTCATCCCTTCGAGATATTTGTATGATGTGTAAATAACATTCGATTTAGCAAAATATCGATAAAAATTTGACTTTAATGCTTCATACTGTCGCATTAATTTGAATTCATTTCTATATTTCTATATTGTCGCATTCATTTCTATATTTTAGGTAATATCACTCACTAGGTAATATTACTCATTATCTTACAAAATTTACATTTTTTAGAATGACATAATGACATTAGCATTATATGACATAATGAGTAATTTTCATTGGAGCTGTTCATTGAAAATGTTTATGCTATTTAAAAATTTCGACAAATTATTTTTTCTATAAATATTTTAAATTTATCTCATAAAAAATAAATCAAAATTTTTTTTAGTGAAATAGCTTTAAGAAAAATCTTTTTAAGATTCATTAACGTTGAGAGAGTGCCCGTTTTTAACCCTACAATTAGATAATTTAATAGAGCCTGACATTTTACTTAGAGATGCTCTCTGATTAATGATGTCTACATGTTTACAATATTAATATTATTAAAATTCGAAGAAATATTTTTTTTCTGTCCTGTAAAACAGCTTATTCAACTCACTTTGATAAAATGTGTCTTTAAATATTATTTTACTATTCAGAAATACAGAGAGCTCACTTAAAAACAGATTAATCTTGATTTTCAGAAAAGCAACAGCTATTACCGTAACTGTTTGGTTCAAAGGAAATGGTACATAGGTAAAATAAAATGACCCATAGTCACTACATATGCCAGTATATGTCTATCTAACAGTACGAAGCATTTTTTACCAAAATTAATATACAAAAACTGTCATTCTACAAAATAGGAACACTGACATCGAATTGAAACTCCATATTATCTACAAGCGGTCTTATCAAATACTTCATAACGATTTTGTGTAGTCAGAAACTACTTCTATGATCATATTTGAAGACTTTAGTAAAAGAACTAGATAAGTGACATTTTTGAAGAATCGAGTGGAAGGACCAGGCAAGTCACTTAACAGCAAAGAATTAACAAACAACCCTAGAATATCACTCACTTGGCAACGATCGCTAAGGCGTGGGCAGTTATTTACTCAGAATAAAATGGAAAACTTGAAACAGCTGTTTCCATTCATTAAAAATTAATGCAGGTTATTTTCCAAATCAATAATTAAAAAAAAAATAGGCTTCATCTCATAAATGTCTTTAGCGTATTATTTTATTGTTTCTAGTTCTCAATACTTTGTGTTTTAGACACACTGCCCTGTTAATAAATTTATTTTATTTTTCAGAACCAATTATTATAAAATATTATTTTGTGCTTATGGAACTTTTTCAGTATATTACCTGCTCTTCCAACGGGTTGCAAAAAAAATAGATAATCAATAAATCGATAATGATAAGAAATCGTGCAGAAAACAGAAAAAGTTATATTTACCTCTTGTTGCCTCTGAATCATTTTTGGGAGATTTTCTGGCAATCAAGGCTTGATCAATACCTCCTAGTACATAGAAGGCTTAAGCACGGGTTGCCATAAACAGGAAATTTGATCCTTTAGTAGTCCAAACGTAATGACATCTTTCGTGTTTCCCCACTGCGCAGTTTATTTTCGTTACGTCGGCCTACTAAATTGATCCATTCTGAGGCCTTCTCTTTTAAAAGAGGTGTTGGCTTGATACCAGGTTGTTCCAAAATGAGTTAACTGAAATTTTATTTCGTGAATATATGCCAAAATATATGCATATTTATTTTAGCTTTACAAACAAAATTATATTCGTTGAAAAATGTTAAAAAACTTCCTTGAAGGAAAGCAAATGCTAAGCACAAAATCATTAAGAAATCCTTCTTTATCGAAGAGTTATGGTCATGTAAATACACTTCCAAATATGAGTTATGTCTTCACAATTATGCTAAAAACATAAAGATTGAACAAAATGAAGAACATAAAGACTCATTTACTCAAATTCACTAAAATGTCACTTACCTGGTTCTTCAAAGTCGTCGTTATTTAAAAAAGTAAACAGTTTAAAATATAGTTGAAATAGTTATCTTAAAACATGATAGTGAACTACTATACACCGGAGCTGTTACTTTTCTATCTACCATGTAATAAAATCCAAGTAATAACTAATGATATTTGAAAGTGCATCATTATTTTACGTGAAACACATGTTTTTAATACTTGCAGAACTATTTCGCTTTTATATGAAATTTTATTTTGTAGATGAGAGAATTATTTATGAAATTAAGGGCGCACCATCACTCCTTAATAATCGTCAGTTTGAGAGCTTTTGCACTGAGGAAATTAATGAAAGGCATGTTTCTCCACAACGACAACGGATTTCCATTATAATTCGCGTTTGATTGCATGATTCATTACTTATTTACTAATCTCGTCAAATTCGAAGACTGTCTTAGGTGCACAAAGATGTCTAATATGTAAATTAACTTACTTTTGCATTTAATGTTTTGAATTTGAAAATTGTTTATGTTTTAAAATACATATATTTTTATTTTATAAAGTGATTATTTCTTTATTCTTCTATCGTACGAATTATCTCAACACGAAGCTTTAAAATTAACTACAATGCGGTCATTGAAAACCGCTATTGTAATATACTATAGAGATAAAAATAGTGGACTTTAATAATAGCGTTTAATTATTTATTTGCTATGTAGAATAAACTGAATTGTGAGATGCTGAACGACAACTTAAGCTTACAAGTAAAATGGGCTATTCAACGAAATGATATCATCATTCATTTGACTGGAAATGTTGGTAAGTCTAAATTATCGGTGAACCCGTTATTCAAAGGTGTAAAACTTTTAATGGGGGTAGTTGTAGCAGATATTGGGTGTGGATTTTGAAACAGGCTGTAACAGTCATCCCTACTCTTACTATTTTTAAAAAATTTTTTCAATCATAAACTATTTTTGATAATATGTAGATACACCAAAACCCTCAGTAAAATACGTTATTATAATACCAATTTCGTGCTGGCTAAACATAGCAAAACTATATTAATTACCTAACGATTTATAATCAGTTTACTTGAGCCATAAGGAATAGAGCATCCGCCTCCCAATAAGGTGACCCAGGTTTGAATCCCAGCTTTGGCTGGTCAGTACGAATTCTGCTTTCCGCTGGCACTGACCACAGAGATGACATAAAATCTCCTCAGTGGTATATGGATCATGGGTTAGAATCCTGGAATAGAATCCCCTAATGCGGTTTTCGAGGTTTTCCTCTCCATGTAACGCAAATACTGGTTAGTGTCATCAAAAAGTTCTCCATGAAGACTAGTTTGCCTCTACTCTTGACCAAGAAGTTCTCTTGTTTTCTGGATTAGGTTCAAAATTTCAAGGCTGTTTGTTTGAACAGGCTGTTTGTTTGTAGTAAACTCAGAATTGGGTTGAACGCCAAAATAAAATCTATTACCTAGAGAAGAAGAAAAATTTCACTGTTTCCAGAGAAATGATTTTTGTTCTTTTTTTCTACCTTGGGTACACTGTAAAAAAATTTGGTGTATAGTTGCACCATTTTCGGTGTTGAGGTAAATTAAAAAAATTTCAATGTATATAGTCATATTTTTTCTTTACTTTTTCAGTGTTGTAGGTTTTTATGTATTTATTTATTTTTGTTTGTTTGTTAACTGACAATACTCATTTTCATGCGCATTAAAGTGAACTTATGACTTTATTACAAAAACATTTTGTTTAAAAAACAAGCGCATTTTTAGTTACAGATTTGTACTAATTCTTACAAATGATTGCTATTTTATCAATTTTATACAATCTGTTGTACAATAACTACAGTTCTAAATTTCAGAGTACATTTAGTTTAGAACTATACACCAAACTTTTTAGCAGTGTACAGTGGCATTGCTTGAGCAAAAAGAGGCATCTGCTCCCAGAAGCAGCCTCAGTGGCGTGTCATGTTCATGAGAGTCATTTAAAGAACACATCATTAATGACGACTCATATCCAAACAAACTGTTCTTAAGTTTAGATACACGTAACAATATTAAATATAGACACGTTCCCTTCTTTCTTTAAGTTTAAATACACGTATATCTCCATAGAAATTAAGTGCGTTTTCCTTGATTTGTTTATTTACATCAAAATAATTATCTAAGGTATAAAAATCCTTAATATAATAACAAAAAACTCAATAAATCCGCGGAAATAATTATTATTTTTTAATAACCGAATATTGTTGTTGTTGTAGTTTATTTACGTCGCACTAAAGCTGTTGGCAACGGTCTGGGAAACATCCCTAAGGATGATCCGAAGCCATACCATCACAATTTTGATCCTCTGCAGAAGGGGTGGCAATCCCCTTTCTGTAGCCCAACGACCTACGCGAGAAGTCGAGCACTTAACGGTAAAACAGTTTAACGATGACCAATACCGAACACCCTCGGTCCCTTTGTAGATTGATCCAAGGGATCCCCCACCCGCACACTGACCGCAACCAATGATGCATGACTTCTGTGTTCTTCTGGGAACCGTGTCTTAACGATCAGTCCACTGCGGGACAATAAACGAATATATCTTAGCACAAATATAATTCCGATAATCTAACGAATTGATGATTTGAATCGATATATATATATATATATATATAGATTCNAAACAATTTTGTAATTACATGAAATTGTTATTTTTCTAGGGGACTTCCAAACATTCGCAATAAATCAATAATTTTCTTACATAGATGTAAGATATATATATATATATATATAGTATAGATAGATATAGGAAACACTAGTATCCCATCTGCTTCTCTGGGCCAAGTATGTAAATGAACATAAAAGAGTATTGGGAAGAAAATTTAAAATTCAAGTTAATTTTAGATTACTATCTCTATATCATTTTGTTTTAAATCTATAGTCAAGTAAACATTTATTGCATGAATATTTTTATTTAATGTATTACTTATGTTTATAGGAAAATTACAATACATGGCTTTAGGTTTGAGTAAAGACGATACTGAAACTAAGTTTGATGCGTCTGATGCAATAGTTGCTTGGCTTGATGAGAATGGCAGAGGTCATGTTGAAGATTATTTCTTAGAGAGCATTGAAAAGGTAATATGTATATCAATTTTACAAAATGAGCAAGTATAAAAATTTGTTGTTGATGTTTTTTTAATGTTTTCTTCAAGTGTGAAAACGGTCATGGAATGTGCCCGGATATTTCTCATCAAGGGTCTAAAAATAATATCGAAATGGTAAACACCACAATATCTGGTAATACAACAACTATTGTCCTCAAGAGGCCATTAAAAGCAGGTAATAGTTGCGTTTAGATAATAAAAATTAAAAAAATATTTATATAGTGCTTGAAATCATACTACAATAGTTGAGTATTTTTTCTTTTTTTTTTAAGAAAACGCGTAAATGCTTCAAATTAAATTGTTAAAACACTATTTTTTTTATAGAATTAAATTACTATTTTTACAACGCAATATATCTGCTTTTCATTTTATACTGTTCGTAACGTAATAATTTTATTAATAACACTCAATTAAACCTATTTTCTATCAGAAAAATCGAAAATATATATTGCATAAAATAGTTTCATAGTTGAACTTAATATCAGTACAATAAAGATTAATAAATAAACATAAAGTTTGGTAAATTTGTTTTAAATTTCCTTTTCTAGTCAAAAAAAAATTTTTTTTTTATATTTGTAGTTTTAATTGCTAATTTTCAGATCATTTTTACGTCTGAATAGTAACTTTTTTTCAAACAAGAGTAATTTTTCCAAAAATGATAGTAGTCAATACCTTCTTATATCGATAAATATACTATTTCATCTTTCTAAAAGTATATTAGTTTTTGTTCTAGGTCATTCAATAATTGTAGAATCATATTGACAATGTGACAGCATTTCTGAGAGTGAGCTTCCGCATGGACTAAACTGTAAAAAATTCCGGATCAAATAACAGTGTAAAGTACCGACACTTTGGGTGCATCATCCCTAAAATCCATTTTTACCGTAAAATATTATAGTAATATTAATTTAATTAGAGTGATTGAGTGATTTTACTGTAATTATTACTGTTGAAGTTACGGTACATTACATTTTTTCTACCATTACATATTCCGGTTAAAATGCATTTTACGGTAAAATGTACCGGTGCAAAAGTTGCGTGGTATTTTTACCGGAATTCGATCCGGAATTTTTTACAGTGTTAAAAGGATTTTCCAATTTCAAATAGCTTTTAAAAACTAACAGCTTTTACTTAATCATCAAAATTAATACAATGAAATTAAGAAAGATTTTTGTGAAGCTTTGCTCTATTTCACTAAAAAATCGTTAAATGCAATATTTTAAAAATAATTTGAGAATTTAAATAATAGATTTTTTAACTAATCCAGTTATCGCAATTGCATGATCTCTTCCATTATTCAATTTTTTTCATTATGAAATTCGCAAGTTGCGTTTTTCTGAAGCATGATGAAAGTTTTAAAAATTCTTATAAAATTTATTTATTACCTGATGTTAGAATAATTTTCTTTTCACAGAAGACCAGGTATATGATCAAAACATTTATACAGATGGGCCCCAAGCCATTCTTTGGGCAGTTGGATCAATTCAAAATGAAAATTTTGTCGAATCCCCAAAATTTCGCTCCAGAGGTAGTTATGAATTAGGCTAATTATATTTCTTAACACGAAGGACAATTAAATTGTGCTTATTGAATATTTATTTTTTTTATCAAGGTAATCTTCTACTAGACTTTGGTAGAGATCCAATTTGGAATTGCCCTCAAACAAATGAAAATGAAATTCAAGTTGTGAAACCTAAACATGTGTTTGAAATTCATTGTCCAAGTGATCGTATTTTTAGAGCACAACTTGGGCCTGCAGAACGTAAGTTTAAACCTGAATTTAAAAAATGTAAGTATGAATTTACAGAAACAGCTACATGCAAATAAATAAATAATAATCTGGCATCAATATCTGCGTTGATAAGAGTATTTCTTAAAATATTTATTAAATTTATTTTATTGAAAATAAAATTTGATATATGGTTAGACTATAGGCTTTAAACAAAAAATTTTAAATTGAAATTTGTCAACCATAAACAATACACACAACAGTTATGAGTGACGAAAATTATAATTTAATTTTAAAATCTTGTTTTTTTAAAATACATTATAATTTACTCTTAATGAAAGAATTCATTCTCAACATTGAGCTAAATTACTGTTTTTACAACAGTATATGTGTATATATATAATTTAAGAAAATGTAATTTAATGCAGAATACCCGACAAAAAATTCAAATGCGGCAGAAGACAACAGAATCCACCAACAACAGCACCAATAATAATATAAACAAAAATATATTTTAAAAAAATGGAAAATACTGACAGCCTCTTCCTTAGGACAATACTACCATGCAATCCGTGCAGGAGCAGTTTCTGCAGGCTAAATACGGCTAACAACCCTCTGCCCTCAACTGCCCCAAACAAGAAAAAAGAAGAAAGAAAAAAAAAAAATATATATAAATAAATAAATACAAGAAAACACTAAGAAGAAACCCTTTTTTTCATATGTCTATAATTTTTCTTTGTTTTATTCTTCATTTTGAACTTATCTAATGAGTGCTGTTTACTTGCAGCTTAAGCGCAATAAATGTTACTTATTGTTTTTCTTAACTTTCTTAGTGTTTTCTTGTATTTATTTATTTATTATATTCATTGTTGTCCGTATTTTATTTTGCACACTTCACGCCTTTTCTGATTATCAACCCTCATTTTTGTTATAATCCTGGACAAGAAAGATATATTGAATAACTGTTGCCATGCATACCAAAATATATATTTATCGCATGACTAGCAAGCTTTGAATTCAAGNTGCAATTCTATATATATATATATATATATATATATAAAAGAAAATTTGAAATATGATACGTTTTATTATATATTATATGCGTGCGTGCTCTGCTGAAAGTAATTATTACATGGAATAGCAAAGTAGCAAAAAGAAGATCTAAAAATAAATCAATAGTACCGTGCAGATTTTTTTTTCCTAATAGAATTTTTTTTTTCTACGATAGATTACAGGAAAGAACTAGTGTGGTACATCAATGGATTACCGACACCTGATTTGACAGTGCAAAGAGGAGAAAGTTACACTTTCATTGTAGAAGGAGGAAATACTCCAAATAAACGGCATCCGTTCTATATTACCGATAGTAGTGATGGCGGCTATTTACTTAAGGCATCAGAGGTAATATATCTTGGCTAATTTATAAATAAGATTAAAATAATATTTTTTAAAAGAAAAACTTTAATTTTTTGGCCCATTATTCTTAATATATAATAAACTTAAAATATGAGTAATTACCTTATTAATCTGCAAATACGAATGCATAACCCTCCTATGCATCTTTAAGTTTATTTATGCAAAAAATGTATGCACCTCATGCTTAACATTAATGTATATCTTACTATATGTCCTTTAAGGACTGACATTTACGGTGAAATAGTCTAGTGCAGTAGTTTCCAATATTTTTCAGCTATGGAACCCTAAATATTGAACATTCTTCGGCGGAATCCTGACTTTATAATATGATTGAAATTTAAGATATATAGAAACAATAAAATAAAGTAAAACAATTGTGATCATCTTTACTAATGAAAGACTACTTTATATTCTCATTAACGAAATTTTTTCGTTATTTTTTTTTAATAATAATCTTAAATTAGATTTTATATCCGACAGTTGAATTCACATTCCAGGAGCTGTATCTAATTTAGTTTTAAATTTGTTTTTGGGTATATACATAAGTGAAAATGAAACAAATTAGCCACATTATGATTTTTTCTGCATTGAAAGCTAAAAGAACTGAAATGAAAGTTGAAAATGGTTACATATTTCTTTATTAAAGAATTTAGAAATTTAATTTTATTAGAAAAATTCGATGGGAAATATTAATACAATTTTTCATAAATGCAAATCCTTTTTATAATATATTTAAGATATTGTTATTGGAAAAATAATACTTTTTAAAGAAAAAATTTGCTGTTTCTTTTTTATCGACATACTGTAAGCAGCTTTATGAAGGCGGCAACCGAAATGTCTGATTAATAATAGGTTATTAATTAGATCTAAATATATAAACAAGGTTTCAAAAATCGTTGCTATTAGACAAAAAAAAAATTCTAACTCTTACAATTCCGCACGGAACCCTAGGGTTTCGCTGAGCTCCATTTAGAAAGTGTTCTGATCTTGTGTTTTGTTTTTCGTCACAAGTTTCAATATATCGTAGCTGTTATAAGTGAACTAATGAACTACTAAATGAATTAGTGCTACTAAAACATTTTTGATTATTATTTGTATTGAAAATTTTAAATTAAAAACTTTATACTACTAACTAAAATAGATTAAACGTTTTGTGATGCTGGATAGAGTTTTTACGTTTTTTCAGAAGTGTAAAAAAAGGCATTTTTATATTTATTAAAAACTATACTTTATTTATATTAGTTTTCAATCATTTTTTGTAGGGCTCGAAAGAAGAGTTTTTTGCTGGAGTAGTTAGAGATTCAAATACCAACATATTCTTTCCAACTGTCGGTAAGATGGTTTAATTTTTAGCAGATTTTTAAATTTATACAATTATGATTAAATGTCACAAATTTTTATAATTTTATGCTAGAAAATTTGCATGCTCACATTCCTTTAAAGTATCTGACTAGTGCAGAAGCTTAATTTTGGGCAAAATTTTCCAAATTGTCTTTATTATGAATTTAGAATCCCTATACACTTAGCATTCTAAAAGTATTTTAATTTCGTTTGAAGTCGAATTATTTACTAAGTTATAGCAGTTTTGTGAAAGTTGATAATAGTGTATATACTTATAATTTTAAGTCTTTAAATGATAATTTATCTCAATTATCAGTTCATATATGATAATTATCTATGATAATTTTTTTCAAAATCAGATTTTTGCAGATTTTACACCACCTTAAACAAGATATCTCATCTTGTTTTTAAAATAATTGTCTACAATTTTTCATGAGTATTTATATTTATAGCACACATGTTTTGAACTACAGATAAGAAAAAAACGTAGAATTTCATTTTTTCTGCATGCTTTTTCGCAAAGAGAAGAGCGGAAATTTTAAAAAATTTGCTTTTTTAAGTACATTGATCCCTAACTCAGTCGTATATTAATTTTCTTTTAAGATAATAGTTCAAAACATAGTTAAAAGCCTTCCAAATAAAATTCTCGAAGGATTTTTTATTTTATTTTAGGTGATAAAAATTTTTTTACAGTGTTCAGCGTATATGCATAAAAAGTCTTTATTTTTACCTAAAAATGGCCAGTTAAAAAAATAACAATAATAATAACATTTTTTACTAGATTTGTAAGTTTTTACACGTAATAAAACAACCAAACTAGTTTTTAAAAATTTCATATTAAAATGAAGGAAAAAAAACTTTTCTAAACTTATTTCGGATACCTTAAATACATTTATTTTTACATCTGAAATACTGATGCTAATATTCAATAAAAATAAAATTAAGAAAACCTTGTGTTTAACGTTAGTTACTTTTGCCTCAACATTTTTTTAAAGCTTTTTATAATAATATCTTTACACTGTCTTTCCGTTACTTCTCAGAATCAAACCAATTTTGATGCTTTAAATTGCACCTTTACTACGATGGCTCAGATAATGGTTCTCTCATACTTTGATAACATTTTTGTTCTGTTTTTATTCTTTTTTAATGCAGAAATTTGAGTTCTTTAAAGTGCACATTAGTATAACTTCCACGAGTTATAGATTTCTCAAACCATATAAAGGACAATGATAACAGAATGCCATCTGCACGTGTGTGTATGCCTAACAGTTTTAACAGTAATTCTATCATCTTAGTCCCTGGCCAAATCATTAGACGCACTTTAAGATTCTATGTAAAATCTTAATTATCAGGTGATACTATACAGCTTTATTGTTTTTACATAACTGAAACCAATTTGCACTTGTTTACGTTCGTGTATCAATTGGTTAAATTCGACGATATATTATATAAATATGTAATATTTATTATATCAGGTATTATAATAGTATATTATAATAATTAGACCAAATTATTCGACACACTGTGGTGTTTTAATAATGACATGTTTTGCTCGAATTTATATGCAATGCTTCTTATATTTAAACATACATGTAATGGATTTTTATTCAGAAGATTTTTTAAATACTTCCTATTTGCGTTTATTTTTAACGTATTGCATTACAATGTTAATCAATTAATACAAGAACATAAACAAGTGTAAAACGGCTTTAGCCGAGTAAATACAATAATGCTGTATATTATCACCGGGTAATTGAGATTTTATATAGAATTTAATAGTACTAATAATCTAAATTATCTAAATAATCTAAAGAATCTAATAATTCGGTTAGGGACTGTAGTAAGATAATTTTTTTGCAATCCATTTAAAAAAATTTATTCCTTTATAAGCTGTAAATTTTTTCAATGTATAAAAAAAGGAAAAAATTAATTGTTTTTAAAATTTTTAATTTATTTTAATAATTAAAAAAACATGAACAAAATCTGTGAACTCATAGCTCTTTTTTGCATCTTTACTTAGAAGGAAGATTATGCGAATGGAAAATATCTGTTTCTGATCCAGAAGATTCTATAAACTTGTCATCAAGTGAATCAACCCAACCATTAACTCTCATCTGCGAGTTTGGCACCTCAAAAAATCTTACATGGACTCCAGATTCAAAAACGCCAAACACAGTTTATTATCAGGTATTCTGAAGCTCTAATTTAGGAAACGACTTGTTTTTCATACTTATTCTCAGTTTGTTCTTTACTTTTAATATAACTTTCAACACTCTACATTTTTAAAATAAATAACGTTTTTAGACGTCTATATCATGTTACAATACTTTATAGATTCTGAAACGTTATTGTATTGTATAGGTTATTATATTAGTGTAAACGTTATTGTATTGCATAAGTGAAAGCATTCAACATTTAGATAATATTATCCTATTATTAACTTCTTACAACCTGCATATCTTTGATTAAATACACGGATTCATACTAATCATCATTTTGCGTGTTAGTTAGAAAAAAAAGGAGGGGGATTCAGACATAAGAAAGAGTCATATATTTGTAAAATCCTCAAGTCGTGACATATTCTCATCACTATCCTTATGTGGTAGATCAAATAAAGCTGATAATAACTAAGGAAAAGTCATAGAATTTATCTGGATATGAAAAATTTGCCGAAGTTTGATATTTGAAACAAAAACACTTTCCGCTCCTGTCTTTTTAGGTTTAGTACGCTTATAATTAATTAAATCCTTCTTCATTTTTTTAAAAACATTTTAGCGTTTTCATCTCAATTGTAGTGACTTGACATATATGTATCATTCATAGTTTTATTTTGTAATAAAATTTATAAAACATTATTTGGTTTAATTGCAACCCATAATACATGTGATTTAATTGATCAGTAACATTCCATATATATATACAGGGTGGTCCCGAATTCATGGTACAAACTTTAATGGTAGGTACAGGACATTGTAACAATGATTTATTGTATAGGAATGTATAGTCGCAAGTGACGCGGTGAGGCGTAAACAGGGGAAATAAAAGGAAAGAGAAATGGAGTGATCGGTTGGTATCATTGCCGGTAGAGGGCAGTAGATGTCTAGCCGCAGTGGAAAATGATGCATCGCAGTAGGGAAAAGCGCCATTCACAATTGTGCTG